CGACCCCCAATCAGCCTGCCGGGAGAACCTGCACCTGGCCTTCAAGCACCTGGCACAGCTGCCTGCAGGTAGGCTCACCATGGGCGCTCGGGTGGCCCTCGGCCTCCTCTCCTAGTCAGGCGCCTGCCGTGCCGATCACAGTTTAGAGCATATTTTTTAAAAAGCTGTGCTTTTATTAAGGTACCATATACATGTTAAAAAGGCACACGTCATACGTGAACGCTTGATTAACTTGTGCTAAGTGAACCTGCCACTTCCGGGTACCGCTACCCAGATGAAGAAATGTGCGGGGTATGGCCAGCACCTGCCCCTACCAGTCACCACCCCTCACCCAAACGTAAACAGGCTGATTTGTCTTCAGGTTACAAGACCATGGGTTAGTTTGTGCCTCTTTAAACTTGACATAAGTGGAATGCTATCATTGGGAATGTACCCATGTGTGTCACGGGCCAGGCTCCCTCCTGGCAGCCTGGCCGAGTGCTAAGCCGTGTAGCTATCGCTGTCCTATGGCTCTGCCATCCCCCAAGGCTGGGAATACTACAAGGCTGTAGTATTTTGTTTCTAGCTTCTTTGTCTCTGTTGTGCGTTGTGCATTACTGACTTTTGCCGATTTGCTCTGCAGTGTGGTATGCACACTATATGAGGGCGCTACGGTTTGTTTATCACCTCTGTTGCTGATGGCCATTTGAACTGTTTCTAGCGTGTGGCAGCTGAGAATACAGTGGTCGCTAACATTCTTACAAATGTCTTTCGATGGACAATGTCTTTCGATGGACATGTGTATGCATTTCTTTTGAGATACGCCTTGGAGAGAATCGCTGGGCACAGGGCAACTTTATGTCCAGCTTTAGAAGGTACTACAAATGGCTTCCTAAAAGAGTTTTGCGAATTTACGCTCCCACCAGTAGCGTATGAGGGTCCCAGGAGTTCTGTATCCGCACCCACACTCGATTTTTTGGCTATGATGGTGGGTGTGTGCTTGCGTCTTACTTTGGTTTTCATTTGTATTTCCCTGGTGACAGGAGCCCTGTAAATGTCCTCTTGTGAGAAGCACCAGGGCACGTTTTTAAGGATGAAAGACCCCACCCCCGGGCTCACCGTCCCCTTCGGCTGACTGCTCCTGCTAATTTGATGCTGAGTCCAGGGTAATGGCCACCCGCTGACCGACCGCAGCTGGAGGGTTGAGATTCGTGTCAGGTTGACACCCATCCTGTCACAAGACACAATGAGCATTTTTAAATGAGGGGTTCATTCCAAAAGGCAGGATATCAGGCCTTAAAGGGGGTGCCTTAAGGCCGACATGGGCCTTAAGATGTCCCGGGCCAGGAGTTGGACAGACCAGGTCCCTCTGCCGTCCCCTCGTTCCCCGTGTGCCCCTAACAGGCCGCTTCCCCATCTGGGACGTTGAGGCTGATGGGACCCCCTGCTCCAGAGGCCTGAAGTGAGGACCAGGTGGGAACACTCCCCGAATCAGGGCCCAGAGAGAAATGACTAAGGGAACAGGTGCAGAGAGGCAGGCTGAGCAGAGCCCTGGGAGCTGGGGTTGCTGCCCGCCTGGCCGGGACCATACCCTCCTCTAGCTGGGCTGGGCTCGGTGTGCCAGGCCTGACAGCAGAACCCCGGGTGGTCTTTTTAAAAGACCACCCTATCCCTGGCCCTATCCCACATCACCTGGTGGGCCCTGCCCACATCTTCCTTGAACGCACCTCGGCTGGTTCTCCTGGGCGACCATGGTTGAGGGCCCCTGGGATATCGGGGCATCTCCATAAAGGACCAGTTCTGGGGCTGAGCTCCATGGATGCCTCTGCTCACCATTCAGGAACATTCCTTCTCAGGGTGCGGAGAGAGGGGAATTGCCGTTCTCACTCAGGGCTCTTAAAATTATTGTGACCTGTGTAAACGTTCAGGGGAAGAGAGAGATGATGATAACGAACATCAGGAACCATCATCAGATTTGCTAAATCTTAATATTCAACCATATTTCATATTTGCTTGAGATTTTTGCTTAAAAAAAATATAGCCCCCTGGGCTTCCCTGGTGGCACAGTGGTTGAGAGTCCGCCTGCCGATGCAGGGGACACAGGTTCATGCCCCGGTCTGGGAAGATCCCACATGCCGTGGAGCGGCTGGGCCCGTGAGCCATGGCCGCTGAGCCTGCGCATCCGGAGCCTGCGCTCCGCAACGGGAGAGGCCACAGCAGTGAGAGGCCCGCGTACTGCAAAAAAACAAATACAGCCGCCTGTGAACCTCCCCCACCCAGCACCCTTTCTCCTGCCCTCCCTGGAGCCACCAATAGTGGGTGACTTCATCCCCAACACATGTCTTTGTATTATTCCCTGGCGGTCCAGTGGTTAGGATTCTGGGCTTCCACTGAAGGGGGCATAGGTGTAATTATATATAGAGCTTGCCTTGCATGTTTTAAAAACCCTGTAAATGGATTTTGCTGTACGTATCCCTTTAGTACTTGAAAAACCTAATGCTATCATTGGGAATGTACCCATGTGTGTCACGGGCTCCATTTCCTGATTATAACCCCAGCCTGCCCATCCCTTGTTTGAACGTGTGTACTTACATTCAGTGAACTTACTCCAGTCCGGCGGACCTGCATGAGCTGGTTTTCCCCAGGGCTTCCCCAGAGAAGGGCGTCAGGGGGCCGGAGAGCACAACTGCTTCCCAGCCGGGGAGCCCGTCGTGCTCCCTCCCGGCAGCTTGGCCGAGTGCTAAGCCGTGTAGCTGTCGCTGTCCTACGGCTCTGCTGTCCCCCAAGGCTGGGAAGGGGCGTCTTCTCTCTGCCTAGCACTGCCTCCATCTCCTCTCCTGCCCGGGGCCTCCCAGGAGCCTGAGCCCATTCTGCTGAGTTGTTTTTTCTATTTCTCATTGATTTGAGGGAGTGCTTCGTTTATCCGAGATTCTAACACTTTGCTGGTCACACATATTGCAAGTATCACTTCCCAGGCTATCTGTGCGGCTTTTCTCTGTTTGTTTATTCATTGGTCCAGCAGTTTTTCATTTGAATAGTAGTGAGTTTCATCAATCTTTTCCTTTGTGACTTTTTTCTTTTTTTTGATGTTGTTTAAGAGAATTTGGTGCTAATAGCTCATGGAGGTATCCTGCCATATTTTCTTCTAAAAGTGAATTTTGCTTTTCACACTCAGTCCGAGAAGGTACCTGGGCCAGCCCAACACTGTCTTAATTATAAAAGCTCTAGGTATTCTGGGTTCTGGTGGACAGGCTGGAATCCGCAAGCCATAGGCTCACCATGGGGAGCAGGGGGTTGTAGTTTGCACTTTATCGCGGGATTTATCACAGGATTTATCACAGGAGTCCGTGCCCAGAGGGAGGCCTGGGACACTCTGGGGAGGGGTAGGTAGCAGTGGGTGGGGTGGGGGGGGGTAGCTAGAGGGAGGGAGGGGGACATGCAGTGTGTTAGGCGCCCCAGGAGGACCATCTGAGGGGCCCCTGAGCGCAGCAGCTCCTGGGTTGGCCCGTGTAGCCATATCCTGGGGGTGTCCTCGCTGGGCCTGTGGGTGGGGGTCTGGGTGGGTGAGGGCATCTACTTCTGGGGCTGCGCTCTTACCAGCATGGGGCCTTGGGTGCTAGCGAAGCCCATCGGGAGCAACAGGTCACAGGGGGCCAGCGGCTTTTCCGGGACGGTCTGCATGCAGGGCGCAGCGGCTCTCGTGCTGGTGGTCGTGGGTCTGGCTTCTCTGTCCACGGCCACGACCAGAAGGACCCTCTGCACCTGGCGGACTGCTGGGCACGTGTCTGGCACTCAACAAATACTGGTGGTTTAGCAGTTTCTATGCAGGATTTTAAAGGACTAATTGTCGGCTGTTTTCCTGCTGCACTTCACGCCCGTGTGTTGGGGCATCTGTGGGGACAAGGCCTTTTCTGGGCCCTGGCGCCCGGCCAGGTCCAGCTGGCTGCGTGGTTTCCCAGAGTGGCCAGCAGGGGGCGCCGTAGGACCGGCCGCCACCCAGCAGGGCTGCTCTGGCTCTCAGCCCTGGACCTGCTTGTCAGGAGAGGAGAAACCGGGATCGTGGGGCAAATGCCAGGCGCCCCGTCTTCCAGGCCCTGAGTGACTGGCCGCCAGGGATGCTGGAGGAACCCGTCTACTCCCTGTGTGGACACAGCCTCCCGTAGGAGAGGGCTCCAGGCTGACACCCAGGATTCCTCTGTAACTGGATTTGGGGTTGGAAGTGTCCCCAACCCCTTGGGCCCTCTGATGGTGGTCTCAGGCCCTGCCTGGCACACATAGTGCTGGGCACTGAGAGCCGCCGGCCCACCTTTAGGGCAGCTCCACTGTCCCGCTGTCCCGACCCACTCATGTGCAGCTGGGCTGTGGGCAGAGGCAGGTGCCCTTCCTGCCCAGAGGAGAGAGCCAGGGCTGGGCGGGGCGGCGGCGGGGGCATTCC